AGGGGCAGAAAATGTTAATTATTTTAAAAGCTTGATTTCACTCAACCTCAGTATATCTTGATCCCAGTAACTCGTCCAGTAGTTTCTAAAAACAATGTTTCTTTGTAAAACACGCCTTACAATAAAGTTAAATGAACTCATTACGCAAATGAAGAGTAAACAAAAGTCAGTTACTGTGAGTGCACGTTGAAAGATACAACTGTTATAAAACAAAACCGGGAAGGAAATTTATGCGAGCATCTCCGATCTCCAGCAGCAACGGAGAGGCTGCCACAGCCATTACGAAGCACAGTGCACCGCCACTGAACAGGCACCGCATCAGCGCATGATTTAAAGACACAGAAAGAGAGGGGAAAGAAAAGAGTGAACACTGTCAAAGCGGAGTTAATGAAAAAGGGGAAAAATGAAGGGGAGGATAGTAAGAGGGGCTTTCTGGTGAGCAGTCCAACAGACTTCACTCCAATGGAGCACATCACCCCTTAAAGGGTCATCATGCCCTCAGTGATACTGTCTGCGCGCCATAAACAGGGTTTGAAAAAAATGGCAAATGATATAAAAAGGCCAAGTGAAAGGAGGAGAAAGTGGAGTTGAGTAAAAAAAAAAACAAAAAAAAAAAGCTAAATTTCTTGCTTGGGATCAATGAGTTTAAGCATAAAATTTACAAAAACTATGTTTTTAATGACCCTGAAAACCGATATTTCTAGCAAAGACTTTAAACTCTGCTTCTACTCATTTGCTCTCAACCTCTTTTGTCACCTGGTGTACGTTATTCAGCGAAAGACTTCAATAAAGCAATATGACCGAAGCGCGCACAGTGAGTCACTTTGCCTGTAATGTGCGGGTCGTGCTGTCTTTTACTGCTAATTTGGAAATCTTCCACGGGAACCTCGGGAAGGTGTGGAGAGGCAGTGAAGGAAACACGGCCTTCAAACAGCTTGCAGTCAGCCAGCGAGGTGGCAAGCTAAAGGAGTATAGAGCCTCCAGCTAGTTAAAATATGAGCACAGCGGGGGCTCACTAATGAAAGCGGGGGCCCCAGCCTGGGAAGCAGGGCTGTATATCGCGGCAAAAAGACAGTTCTTAGAATCAGCTGGCAAGCAATGCCTATAGTTCTGGGGCCGCTGGTGATTAACCATCCAAGAGGGAGTCGCTACTACAGCTGGACTATTAATAAAAGATCCCCCTCCTCCCATTTCTGCGCTCACCTTCTCCCACCTCTTTGGTTTCTCGCTATGCCTGCACACGATATCAACCACATGAAATTGTTTGGATATCATAATCTATTCCTAACACATGGCTGATTTTACACATTGTTTATATTGGACAGAGAAAGCTTAAACGTCACAACGCCGAAACAAGCTGCTACAGTTTTATATTATCTATTTGCATGACTTCTATTTGGGGAGACATTTGATCAAAATATGTGGAGAAAATATCTATACAATATGTTATATGTAACACCTGACACACTTAGGCCCTTTTTACGGGACAATAATCCAACGAAAAAAACATTTTTTTTGTTTCATTTCTTTCTTTCTGTTAACAAATTTACATGAAGACATTCTAGTTACAATCTTTGTTTGCACAGTAACGCTGCACATCGAAAATGTGTGACGCTACTGCGTCACACATTTGGCCGACCTAGCGCCACTAGTCGGCGCTAGGTTCTTTGAAGCCAAGTGCGCATGTGGTTTGTATGAAGCAGCTATGATTTGCGTCACACTGTGCATGAGCTAGGGATTCCCTGGCAGAAAAGATCCACTTATTCTGTTTACAAGACAACGGAGACTGGTACCTTTTTAGAACCATTGGCTTCTCAATCTGTGCCGTTGTCAGAGAAAACATTTGGTGGTTTCGGGGAAATGTACAGTACAAACACAACAAACCTCTTCCATTTTCACCAGAATTTGTTGTCGCGTAAACGGGGCCTTCAAGTGGAAGATTCAGTTGATTAGCAACAGCTAACTCAGAATTAAAATGTTTTACCTTTAGCATCCATCTATTCAAACTTGGATACAAACTTAAATCATTAAAACTCTCTCAACCACCGATTGTCTAAGTTTGTCTAAATTGGTACATTCAATCATGTAAATGTTTCAACCCTACCACTTCCTGTGCTACACATGACAATTTATTCTTTTAATTTCCAGGCTATCTTAGATTTGTTGCTGAAATAGGAATAGAACTGACTTACTAAAGTTATAATTATAAACCAGCACGCTGGACTCACATGTAAAAAAAACAAACATTTAATGGCTATAAATGCAATACTCTCCAAAATCAACGTTTACAGTGTGGTTGCTCATTCTTCATGCTCTGTACTCCTCTGGGATTTGTTTCTCAGGTACAGCGGATCAATTAGTGACCTCTCATTAGATGGCCATTTGCAAAGAATAACCCTTCCCTTGAGGGAGAAAAATAAAAAAGAGTTACAGTACTATCGCTCTTGTTGGATAACGGTCCATTGATATTGATTTCAAAAAAGCCAGTGTGAGTAAAATGTCGCTCCGGTTAGCAAACGGAGGTAAAAATAGTTATAGGATATAAATTACAGAATTAAACCGGTTATGGGTGCGCATAGCCAGAAAGCCTAAAATGCAGAAATATATAAATGGATAAGCATTTCCTTTCCAAAGGGAGAATTTCCTACGATCGTTAATTACTAAACCAGAGGGTCACAGCACCATTGTTCGTCTGCAGTGAATATTATTGGTAGGCTACACTGACTTCACTTAACACCAGAGCTAAATGTTGACACATTTAACAAAAAGCATATTGCTAAAGATAACTGTTCATCATTTGGAACATTTATATTATAAACATGCCTTTACCAACAGTTTTTGTGGGTTAACTTGGTTTTTGAAGATGATTTCATTAACCAATTGATGGATGACCCAGTATGGAGACCGGACCCGAACCTTGAGAACCGCTACTGTTACATCACTCCTGAAAAGGCCATGTGTATTTGTTACGCTAAATCTAATGATGGATTTGATGCCAATAATGATTATAGCTGAAAATGTTATTACTAAAAAGGATCAGGGGTAGTAACTATTGCACCTGTGATTTCTGTTTCTAGGAAAAACTACCTTAATAAATGTCTATCTATACTACTTTCAACTGAAAGAGAAATCAGTCTCTGTTTGCTGATTGGTAAAGGTTTGAAGCTAAAACTAGAAATCACTTTTAATACACAATATTCTCACTTCATTATAACCTTGCACAAAAATATCAAATATAGACATATTTTTATACAAAATGTATACCATTATCTAACAGGTTTTATTTAAGACAGATAATTGTTTTTTTTCATATTTAATAAAATAATACAACATAGTAATCATCATAGTTAAAATTATTATTTGGATTTTCCTACACAGACTTAGGCAAAACTTCTTAAAGTTTTAAAGAGCTTGTTATGCACAAAATAACTCCTTTTTGCCACTCTGCTAGGCGTAGAGTGAGATACAAACAACACCATCACCAATCCATTAGTCAGGCTGTCAGCTCCGGTAGCAGATTTGCAGACACTACTTTTTTGGACATACAGCATCAAAACTTAAGTGCAATTTTTAATAGTTAAAGGTGACAATTGCCATGTAGTTGTTGTTGTTGTTGTTTTTTTTACTCTGAAAAACAATCATTGAGAATTGCTTTTCTTTTTGTAAGACCCTCATTCTACACAATATATTCAAAACCTAAAAGCCTGATGGATTTGTGAATAGTTTTTTGTCATTACTTGCATGGGCATTATGATAAAAGCATCTTCACCATGTAACCTGTAGCTCATCATGCATCCCTCGCTGTTACTCTTTTAATTTAAACAAAACAGCTGTCCATGTTTTTCAGAAACGGAAATATTCCCGAATAGACAAACTCATGTTTGCAGTAAGTGAGAGAAAAACGTAGCATCTCTTCGGACAACTGATCTGCAGTGTGCAGCAGCTGGTGGGAGACGGGCAGAGCTTCATTACTTCATTCACCACTCAGTTGGAGAAAGCATCGGTCAGTTATATTTAGGCATCAAAATGAAAGGATTCAATAACCAGTCATGAAATCTTTGCTGTTCTGAAGGTGCAGCGTTTTTGCACGACCAAAACCTAAATGGGGTGAAGTTACACAAACTCATCAGAGTCCTGAGATGATGTAAACAAAACATGACTGGATAATCATGTACGAGTCACGCATTGAGGCTGGGACTGAAAAGCAGATTGATTTGAGTAGAATCTCTTCCCAAATGGAAACGGTGTTGTTCAAACACCAGCGGCTGTTGTTTTCACTGAGGTCTGAGCCTTTTCTCACTTTTTGTTTGTAATTTTCAGCAAACAAAAAGCTCAAAATGACTTGAGTCATGTTTTCTACTTGGATTTTGAAGAAAACGCTATTAGCAGTTCATGGACTAAAGATGAAACCAGTAACGCAGTGAAATGAAGAGAACAAAGCAAAGACATACAGTTGTCTCTTAATTTCTTTTTTTCCACAGTTGTATATTCACGGGCCCACTCTCAATGCTGTTGCACGTTCACACGCACGTGCACCCGTCCACCCCTCCAACCCCCCGTGGACCCCCCTCCCCCCGCCCCCTTTTTCACACGCACTCACACACCGACAGTGTAACAGGCAGCAGAGAGTACTGTTCTGCTAATCAAACATAATCCACTCTCTCTGTAACGCTCGCTGTCGTGACTCCCTCTTCGGGCCACTCTCGTGATGTTTCTGCACAATCAGGTGACTGAAGAGCAGCGCCAGGTCGAAAAAGATCCGTCATCTGCCGCCAAAAAAACAACAACCCCCCCTTTACCCCAACCTCCCCCCCCCATACACACACACACACACACACACACACACACACACACACACACACACACACACACACACACACACACACACAAACTCATTCAGGCGTCTCAAAATTTGCCTAACATTCGCGCACTAATCGTCCCCCATCCGTGCGTCATGTGTGCCAGATTCCTCCCCCTCGACGGGAGGGAGCGAGACCCACCTTTGTGCATGCCCGTGAAGCGGTCCTTCAACACGGTGAGCTCGTAAATCTTGCCGAACTCCTCGAAGAGGGGCCGGAGGTCCTTCTCGTCCAGGTTGCGGGGGATCTGGCCGATGAAGAGTTTGATGGCATCGTGGTCCTTCATGGGTATGGTGGCCGGGCATCCCGCCGGGCTGTGGCTTAATCCGTTCACGAGCCCGTTCGCGCTGGCGGACACGACACTGACGCCGTGCACCGCGCCGTCCACCTGCCCGTTGGTTAAAGTTGCCATCTTCGGACCTGCCGCGGTGAGAGTTGGGTAGAGGTACAGGATGACGGCGGCGGCAGACGGCGACGGGCGGGGAATCGTTTTCTCTCTCTTTTTTGAAGAAGAAGAAAAAGAGACCAAAAAAACAAACAAACAAACAATAGTATATAAAAAAAAAAAAAAAAAAAAAAAAAAAAGAAAATTTGGGTTCCGAGACCAAGTCGTGCCAGAGAGGGTCCGCTCTCGTCCTATCAAAGCCAGTATTTACAATGATTGGAAAACACATGTAGCGTGCGGCGAAGACTCATATCAAAAATTAAAAATAAAAAAAAGCTTGCAGTGCCCGGTTGGTCCCGATGGAGGCTTTGATTCCTTGTATTTATGTCTTACCCAATAACTCGTTCATTGATTTCATAAAAGAGAGACAGAAAGAGAGGAAAGAAGAGGGGGGAGAGAGAGAGAAAAGGAGAGAGAGAGAGGAAGAGAGAGAGAGAGCAGCAGCGTTCACTGTCTATTTACACCCACGTTCCTCCGTCCCAGCTTCTTGGCAGCCTTTTATTTATTTTTTTTGCATTGAGGACTTGGTATGGGTGTCTTCTCGGTTTAAACGGACGGGACCCGCTCAACGCTCGCCAGGGCGGCGGGGAGTTTCGAGTGAAACGGGGGGGCCGCTTCAAGCTCACTATTTATAAACCGAAGCGTTTTCTCTCCCCCTCTTCCTTCTGCGAGGAGCTAGTGGTACATTCCGTCGAGGGAAGAGGGTCTATAAATAGAGGAAATATAGAGAATACGGTCCTTTGTGCTCCGACCCAGAGCGAATAGCGGCTCGCGCGCCAACCCCACGTCACACAGTGAGACCGACCGAGAAACGCGTCTCCTCTGAGGGACGACGCTCTTCTGCTCGTGTCTTCCGTCCCGTCAGACAAAAGCTGTGACACATACAGATGGGGCTTTCAGAGTGGCGGCGTGCTCTCGCTCCGTCTCCGGCAGAGAGAGCCGCTGCACGCCCCGCTTCTCTCCATTGGCCAGGCGGACAGCTCCGCGGTGCTGAAACGCAGCTCCGTCAGCCGAAGCCAACGTGTTTGCTTCCTTTTGGAGGGAGAACGGTGTGTGACAAATTCAAGTCCAGGAGAAACACAAGAGTGTTGTCATTGTTGTTAGCTCCAGTATCTAGAATCATGTTGATTTTTTAAAAAATTTATTCTCTCTCTATCTCTCTCCCCCGAAAGAGGAAGTCTGTGAGCACCGCCGAGTGGCGTACAGAGGGGCCACATGGACAAAGGAGAGGAGTCCCACAAGAGCAAGACAAGTTTTAATGGAGTGATGAAGATGACGTGATAAATTTAGATTTATACGAATGTGTTATATTCACGCTCTTCCATTAAAATAAAAAAATAAATAAAAAACGGAAGAGCACATACAGTTCTGTGGTGGAACTGTAAGTACAGGACATTCATTGTTAACCGAGACAAAAAGAGGTATTTTTCTTCCACTACTGCAGTTGGAGGTGAGATCTGTCTCTATCAAGATCGGGGCATTGAGATCTGAAAGGCACAATTTTCTTTTATTATATATTTGTGTGTATATATATATATATATATATATATATATATATATATATATATATATATATATATATATATATATATATATATATATATATATATATATGAAACAGAAACAACCAGTTGCGGTTCTTCCATGAACAGTGTCCAGGGTAAGTCTCTTTCTCTCTCAACCCGACTGATAACCAAACACACTGTCCCACTCCGGCAACAAAGCCCTTTCTGCAGAATGTCATTTTAAATTTTTTATTTATTTATCACCGAATAAGAAACTGGATAGATTAGATGGATAATTTTATCCAGACAAGGTAGGATAAGATAATAAGGGCTTCACGTGTTTGAGGACATACAGACAAAATAACAAAAGAAAAGAACGTATAGAACTATATGGATATTGGTTCCTCATGTTTAGTAAGAATAAGACTTTATGAACTAGTAGAGGTTTCTCTGGATTCACGATTAGATAAAACTTGCTTCTATAAAACAGATGGTCCCAAATGTTGATGTAAGGTCAAATCAGCCCGGACTTCCTCAAAAACACTGAAATAGCCTCTTTAACCAGGTGCCGAATCATAAGGTGTGTGAAAAAAGTGTGCCAATTTCTATGTCATACACAGAGAACAGCTATGTCTCCTCCCAGTGTTTATCCTATGTGTCTGTTCACATGGACTGGACGTGCAAGCAAGCAATGAAGAGCCCAGATGGTGCACAACAGGCAAATGCCTTCTTTTGGCCTCGTGGCACCGTCATGTCAGCCTGTGCAGAACGCCACCATATTTTCCATATCAACAACCAACATTGTAAATGGCTACCAGCTTGGGATCAGGTAGCCTTCTGTGTTTAATTTTGAGTCTGTAATGGCGCTATCGTTTCTTCTGCTTGTTCGGGAACTCTGTTTCATTCCTCAAGAGAGTCAGTTCACCGTCTTCTAACTCCTAAAGGATCCATTTTTGTGATCATGTATAAAAGTAATTCCTTTTTGCCTGCTAGTCATTTTGCCATACAGGATCCAGCCGAGGCATCGGCGTCCATTAGACATGACTCACTTAATGTGTTAAACCATAAATTCATCTGCGTTTATAGGTTGTAAAATTTTCATAAAGCAACATCATTTCTTCATTGATTAAATGAGGAAATGAATTTTCCTAATTAAATTCATTTGATTAATTGATTTATTGAATTTTAAATACATGCATAAACCATTAATTGTGCAGATATTTTGGAGTTGAGTTTGATTGATAGCACATAAAATGACAAATAGGCCATTACATGTGTGTGAAATCAGATTATAGCAAAACACATTGAGAACCAAGCGTAATTTAGTTAGAATCAGAGTAGAAGCTGTTGAACTTTCAGAGTTTCTTTGGCAAACAGAATATATCTGTCTTACTGCAGCTGCTCAAAATCTAATAGTTTATTTTCTCATGTGGTCATCCGCATGAGAAAAGCCATGTGAATGACCATATCGTTACACAAAATGTGCCAAATTAAAGAAACTCTCCTAAATAATGTTACTTTTTCCAGGAATATTTGGCCCCTCATAGTAAGACATTAGTGAACCATTAGGTCACAAAAGACTGATGGGTATCACAGCGCCCCTGTTCTCTTTCTGCCAGCTAAATGGCCCAGGAAAGTCATCCCATTCTCATGGCGTGATTGAGCCCGAACACTTTTACCGGTCGGGGAACTGTACCATGCTCCGCTCTGTCCTCTCAGCCCTCCCCGGGGGCCACACTCCTTTCAGCTCAGCGGCCCCGCCCGGCGCTCACGCCTGACTTACCTCCAGCAATATTTTTCAATACAAGAGGGGAAAAAAAACCGGGAGGGCACAAATCATCGCAATTATGTTCAGTGGGTTCTGCCATGATGATTATGTAAGATACGCTCTCCGTGATGGCTCCCTCAATGGCTGGCTCGTGACACGACCCGCCTGCGAGGTCACGCGGCGGCTTTGATCGGGCGAGTCCATCGGACTGATATTAATAACTCAAAATTAACGAGCGAGACAAGTAACAGAGGGCTTTTTTTTTTTTGCTCTCCAAACTGTACTCTTGTCAGTCTGTTTGGGTATAATCTGACTCTGTGGAGAATCATGGAAATCATTTGCACCTTAAGAAGGACACGGCGATCTTAAAACCTGTTCATCAATTTTTCTTTCTTCCCCCTCACTTATAAATTACTGCCACAATCGGTAAGATTACGTCGAACAATTTAATCGGTGACTGTTTTGTTACCTTTTTTACACAAAAAAGGTAACAAAACATTCTTGTCACATTTTGCACAGTGTAATCAGCTCAACGGGAGAAATCTGGCAGGGACAAGACTCTTGTCTATGGTTCTGAAGCTGCTATCAAGCAGTAGTGAGTACTGTTTGCCTCTGTCCTTGGTTCTTAATTCAAATGCACAAACCGGTGTTGCTCTTCAGAGAGAGAGATGGGGGGGAAAAAAGACCTATGAATTTAGTGTAGGCTTTGTTAACAAGATGTAGATGATCGTGCCTGGACTCCCTGCACTTCTCCAAACATTCCTCTGAGCTCATCAAAAAGAGGTCACTTCATCCCCCCCCCTCTGCTCCTGTATCTCCAAATGAACCTTTGCAATCAAACAGCAGGGGAGGCCTATTTTCCCCTGGAATATTGCCTGGTTGCTCGTCATGGCTTCAATTTTCAGTTTCAGCACTGTAAACGGCCGCAGCAAGGCAAATAAATGAAAAGGGAAATGAAATTCTGGGTAGCCAAGTTACACAAATAGATTGATAATCTGCACAGGCCACCCTAAAGTGCTCGGGCATTTTGAATATTACCTATTATGCATAGTAATGTCTTTTCTCACCTCTCCTTCATGTGGGACGAAGTTCTAAATCTCCTTTAGCCTTGGGATATCCAGGCTGTATATCACCTTCCAGTAATTTAGGAGGGAGAGAGCACAAAGGGGTAAGGAAATGGCAGGCTCAGGACTAAACGCTGAGAAAGTTTATAGGGACAAGAAGGGCAGAAGAGTTCTTTTTAACTTGAGTGGTGCTTTTCTGTCACTTTGGAGGCATGGACGTCCCAAGCAATTAGCTTCTTCCATAATTTAAAATTTGAGCATTCTGTCGTATAAAAATCAAGCTCAGTTTGTTACGGTTTTACAGTAAAATCCACATCCATTCCCAATGTTCTTGATATATATTACCTTCCAAAAGTATAACATTTGAAATGTTTGACCTTGTGACACAACGTCAAGCCTCAATGGGTTTTAGTTGTGTTTTACATTCACAAACTAGCAGATGTTTCTGAAGTGGGACCAGAATAACACATGGTTTTGGAATAAAAATCTGAAAGCTTCATCTGGAAACCTTGTAGAGCAACATGTCATTCCAACTGTAGGATTTTTGACCCTGAAATGTTGCCAACTTTTCTTAAAAACTAAAACTAAAACCTTAGGCTCAATGAAATTAGTTGGAAAGTGTTTATGAACATCAACAACTAAGTTTTCCAAAAACTCTCAATTGAATTCGGATCTCGACTGACTGGGCAATTAAACACATGAATGTGGTTTAATCTAAACTGTGATTTTGTGTCTGGTTGTGTGTTTTGGAACATGTGGCCGGAAAATGAACCTCTGCCTCAGTCTCCTGTGTTTTGCGGACATTAACAGGTTGTCCTTCATCATTTCCTTGTCTTCATCTTCATATATCATCCCATCAGTTCTGATAAACGTCCTGGTACAGTACCTGCTGGAAAAAAAAAAACATCCCACAGCATGCTGTTGCCACTGCCATATTTTACTGTGGGAATTATGTGTTCGCAGTCGTCTCCAGTGTTAGATTTTCTCCACACACAAAATTTTGTTTGTAAGTTAAAGTTCGTAGCTTATTATATTATTTAATAAACTAACTCTGCTGTTTGTTTGCAGATGTTCTCAAAGAAAACATTTGATGCATTTTACACAATAAATTATTATCCTCTTTACTAATTAGGTGTCTTCTGAAGACCCCACCATGCATAACGCTCCCACCACCACTAGGCACTGGATTTTATTTTAGGGTGTCTGAATACAAATTCATTCCACACTATTGAAGATGTTTACCTATAAAAGAAAT